GAATCCAATCTGGGCTCGCCAAACAACAATGACAACTACAACCAAAAAATAGCCAGGCATTGTAGCAGGTGCCTGTAGAGCCAACTACTTGGGAGGCTGAGGCAAGAGAATCACTTTAGCCCAAGAGTTTGAGGTTGCTGTGAGCTGTGACACCATGGCACTCTACCCAGGGTAGCAACATAGTGAGACTCTGTCTCAGAAAAAAAAAAAAAAAATTAAAAATGATACCTCACCGTTTGGTTCCTTTACAGGGTCTTGTTCTGTGGCCACTACTAAATACAGTGGCATCTCCCACAGGTCACAGGAACTTCAAGCTCCTGGGTTTAAGCAATCCTCCTACCTCAGCCTTCCAAGTCACTGGGACTACAGGAGCTCACCATGATGCCTGGATAATTTTTTTATTTTTAGTAGAAACAAGATCTTGCTTTTGCTCAGGCTGGTCTTAAGCAATCCTCCTGCCTCAGCCTCCCAGAGCACTAGGATTACAGGCCTGAGCCACCTCGCCCGGCTAACTCTGGCCTTTTTCTTTTCCTTTAACATGCCCTTGCTGTTTGCCCTGCCTGAAATGCTCTTCTCCTAGGTTTTCACACGTCTAACTCCTCCTCACCCTTCTCTGCTCCGAGGCAGCTTTCTCTCATTGGTCTTCCCTGGCCACGGTGACCAAAGACTTCCCTGTTGACCCTCCCCCTAGATTGCCAATCCTCTTCGTCACTCACAGTTTATTTCATTCCCAGCACTACTCATCAGCTGAATCTGCCTTGCTTATTTGCTTGTTTTCTTCTTTGTGGTCACCATCCCCTACCCTCTAGTGTGTGCCTAGAACACACTACTGGGGGCCTGTTTGGCCCTTAGTAAATATTTTCTGGTTGAATAATTAAATGAAAATAAGTCATATAATTACATCAATATGTGCTTAAAAAGTCATTTACTAATTTAACAGACATCCCTAACTTTTAAAAACCATGTAAAGCTACTAGAAGAGGCAGTAGATAATGATATGGCTCAAGCATTGGTGTCAGTGAGGTCTTGTTTTCTATACCAACCAAGTCGCTTCCCACCTGTGTATCCTTGGGCAAGACACTTAACCTTTCTGAGTCTCATGTCCTCATCTATAAAATGGGAGAAATAATGGTATTGAAAGCTGTTATGAGAAGTAAATTAAATGATGTAAACATAGTGCTTAATGGAATATCTGTAAAGCAGTATGCTTTCAGTAAGTATTATACATTATTATTTGAGTAGTAATAGAAAACAAATGGAGAAGAAAATGAACTTGAAATCTGTCACAAACACCATGCCTAACAGTGTGGGCTGGAACCACTCCTGGTTCCATAAGACATAAATGCATGCCATTACTGCATTGCTCCAGGGAAGAGGTAAGCCTAGCTAATACAATAAATTGTGTGCAATAGAGCTATAATTTTAGGGATGAAGAGATAATATTACTCTCACTGAAGCAATCTCAAAGCCTAAAGAAAGTTAACAGAAAAATTATGAGAACATACATTAATACTTAACATGCTGATGAGATAGGAGATAAAATAAAATACACAAAAATTAATCATCTTCTTTTATACCAACAATATTCATAACAACAACAGAAACTATTTTTGGAATACCTATGTACATGGCTCGGCACCTGTGGCTCAAGTGGCTAAGGCGCCAGCCACATACACCTAAGGTGGCGGGTTCGAATCC